ATTTTTAAATAAAATATTAAAAATTTATCACTTTATTTAAAAACTCATAAAATTAACATTTTTTTAATAATAATAAACTTATATATTATATATTATATTATGTTATAATATTTGGGGACATGAATGATGAATCGGAACATATGCATTTATTAGGAGTAAAGCGAATTTGCGAGAGGAGGAAAGAGAAAGTTAAAACACGAGAGGAGCAGCTAAAACCGCTCATAACAGTTGTCAATGTGGTTGCTTAAGGTTATTTCAATTTTTGAATTAAAAAGAGATTTCAAATGGTTGAATTAGTAAAATGACAGGAAATGGTATAAAATATCAAATTAGAGAAACCAAAAATAGAGAGGAACTGCATTTGTTTTTGACTGGCTCCAGAAGTTACGTGCGGAGTTTTATAATTAAATAAAACAGCCTCCATTTAAGAGTGCCTTTCCTCTCGGCTGAAGTTGGTTTTCTTGCTGTTCTCTTCCTCTCCACTTCCAAACTTCGCTTTCAGTTTAGTATATTAGCTTTAGGTTATTGAATTTGATTTTAGTGGGTACTGTATTTAGGAATAACATAATTTATAGAGAGGCACAAATTATTATTTTTAAAGAAAGGTTATTTGGATTCGTCTTGTCTAGAATGTAGTTATTATCATCAACAAAAGTATTGAAAGCATCCACATTTTTAGTATTTATCTTTAAAATATTAATTCTATTTGATTTAACTACAATATTATTAATTAACAGTTTAAAAAAAAGATATGTTTAGGTGGTTATTATAAAAACTAACACATAAATTACTTCAATATAAGATTTATATTTAACTTAAAATAAATTAACAATAAATAACGTAACATTTCTTATATTTTGCATACATATTTCTTTATTATGTATTCAGTATGAGTTTTTTTCCATTCAACAATTATAACTTTTTATTAGGTATCAATAACCACAGCGCCCTAAGAGGCATGAAAGTTACATGTCTAATTTGCAATACATAGTATGCCTTGATTGGGGTTGGGGTTATTGCCACTCCTCATTTTGTTAAGATCACTTTCTATATTTATAATTTCGTATCTACATGTATGCAACAGTTAACTACACAACTCGCTGATTAAAAAAAAAAGGTTTAACCGCATAATTCAGTATATGTTCATAAAACTAAAGTTTTTTCAAAAAGACCTGACATGCTATTTTAAGTTTACATTAGCCATGTGCTTGTAGGCATGTCCAGTGTGGGTGCTGCCTCCATTGCCGCAAGTACCAATATCACAATTCTCAAAGCCTTTTTCCAAGTTGATTGAAGGATTTGGTGAAGTTCTTTGCCATAGACCTGCATAAAGAAATCAATTAGAGAAGAAAATAAATCCTATCTAAAATCCAAAAGCCAAATTATTGCAACACAAACCTTAAAAATACGACCTTTTGGTTATCATTCTTACTAAGCTTCCACCCATCAATGTGTTCATGTAATCTGCTATTTTCTCTTCCTCATGCATTGGTAGTTTACACTTGGTGAGAGCTCTGGTGTAGCAATAACTATGAAAAAAGGAAAGCACCTCATTTGAAACAAATGCTAAAGGAGGCTTTAATGTAATCCATAATATTAAAATTAAATTCTCCTAAACAACATGTATAAGCAGAAAAGTCTTACATTTTCCTCATGATTCCATTGTGCAAGCACATACTCCACTAGTCCTCCATTCAGATTTTCAAGCTCCATATATATATCAATTCCATTAAGGATACATGAGTACAAAGTAACAAAAACCTAGACAACCTTCCGGTTTAGGCTCGACGGTAGAAATGAACTTGAGCCTCTTTGAAATCCTCCAAACTTTAGGACCCACTGTGTTGGCGCATCTGACATTTGGCACATAACCTTCTGGATATTTCAAGCACACTTGAACCATAACTGTCTCAACACAGGTTTCCTGGCTCTGTTTGTGCCATAAGTAATAAGAAAGAAAGCTAAATGCTGCCGAACACAAAAAAAGAAATATATATATATATATATGTATGAGCAATCCTAAATACTGTATGTGCATTCATGGTCACATATATATAATTGTCAGATTCATTTTTTGGTTGCATTCAAAGGTTTGCTAAATTTCTACTGCAATTTTTTGCAGAAATGCCAACACACAATAATGCTTTCCAATAGACAAAGCATAAGAGAAAATATGCAAATTCAACGAGTAAATTATATCCCATTTTATGAACCATCACCAAGTCCTTTGAAAGCATGTATACTTGGAAACTTACAAATTAGTAGAAGATTTCACATTGAAAGCATGTAACAAATCTTATTCTCAACCATCTGTAAAAGGGATCAATAACAAAAATAATAGGAATGCCTAAAGAGACCAAACAGCGGCACCCAAAGAACAACATATCATTTGCTAAAATTAAATAATGAAATATAAACTGAAATATAACTAGACAAAAGGTAAAAAAAAAAAAAAAATGCTTGAAACCTTGATAAGCAAAGATCATTGTTAGCCATATTCTCGTTTTACAGAATTTCTCAAACATGGTTATCATTAGACAATTATATACCTGAAAATTATATACAGCTGAATCTGCTTGTGAGCGTGCACAAACAATAGGAGGAGAGGGCCAATCATCTGGTTGGGTCACTTTGTTGTGAATATCAGCTTCAATTCTTCATAATTTTGAATTCAAGGCAGGAGAAGCTGCTTGCTATAAGATTTCCTTAACAATAACAAACAAAAATATGGAAGAAAAAAATTGAAATAAATAAGAAGATCAATTAATTAAAAAAAAAAAAAAAACCTTGAGAAGCAAAAGCAGAACTGCAGGGAAAAAACAGACATCTAAAATGGAAGAAATATCACCAAAAAAAAAAAAATTACAAAATGAGATTATTTGATTTATGGAAAGAGAAAGAAGATAAGGAAGGAAAATGGTTGCAAGAGGCTCACAAGATTTTGATGAATTCCGAGCACCACAGGTTGCGATTCCTACTCTGCATGCTGATATATCCCATTTTCCTTCAACAAAAAATGGGTATTTACCAGAAGCCGATGTCGGGGATCTGGGAAATCTTGGACCATTCGGGGCCGCTCTCTATGGCACATCTTTCCTTCAATTTGGGACAATACTCAATATATAGAATTTGTAAGTTGGAGAGGTGGCGCATGGCTTCAACAGAAGGCAAATGCATTAAGTTAGGGCAATACCGAATTCGCAAATCTTGAAGAGAAGAGAGGTTTTGGAACCATTCTGGCAAAGCCTCCAGGCTCCCAAAGGAGAGTAACCACAATTCTCTGAGGGTAGTGAGATATTGAAGTTGCTGTGGAAGAGACTTCAGTTTATCCCATCCCCTTATTTCTAAAATTTCAAGGGAAGTGTGGAGGTGACCCACGGAAGCGAATCCAGGAAATTCCTCCAACTCTGACCAGAAAGGACCCACACGTAACTCCTTCAAGTGGGTGAGGCGACCAAGGCACTCCTCTGGAAAGCTTCTCAGTTCTTTGCAATTAATGATTTCAAGAACAGTGAGAGAACGCAATTCCCCAATATTTTCTGGAATGCTCTTCAATTTGTTGCAATTTTCAATCCTTAAAGAAGCAAGAGAAGAGAGATTACCCAACCCCTCTTGTAAAGCTTCGAGGCCATTGAAGTTCCATAACTCCAATTCCTTGAGGGTAGTGAGATGTTGCAACTGATGTGGTAAAGACTTTACCTTATCCCATCCATACAATTGCAGTGTTTCAAGAGAGGTGTGGAGGGGATGAATGGAAGTGAGTCCTGGGAATTCTTCCAACTCAGAGTAGAAGGGACCCATCTTCAACAATTTAAGTGGGTGAGGTGTCCAAGGCACTCCTCCGGAAAGCTCACCAGCTTTTTGCAATCACAAACAGCCAAATCAGTAAGCGAATGCAATCTTCCAATGTCTTCCACAATAGAAATTAGACTGGAACAATACCGAATGAACAAACTCTGGAGAGAGATGCAAGTTCCCAACCCACTTGGTAGACAAAATAAATTTTCACACCAATAAATAGATAATCTTTTAAGAGAGAGCAGCCCATTTAGGCTTGGATAGCCATCAAATTCTGACAAAACCGTATCCCTAGATAAGAGAGCTTGGGCTGAGGTGAAATTCTACCCATTGACCAAGTTTTCAATCTAGAACAAAACTCAATTTGCAATATCTCAAGGCGAGGAAACACAACCATCTCTTCTATTTCTGCCCATTCCTCTAGGTTGTCCATCTCGCATATACGGAGTTCTTTCAAAGCCGGGAAAAGTGTGATTAATTCCCCCCCACCATGGCTACTACTCGCTGGGTTGCTCTTGTCAAGATAAAACTTGCTGCCCATACATTTCACCTTTTTCATACGACTTATTCCAAGAACCTGGAGACAAGGCAATAATCCCAAAGAGTTGGGAATATTTGTGCATTCACCACAATTATAAAATTGCAATTCCAACAGATTGTTGAGCAGAGATGAATTAACAGATAAATTGACACCCCTATCCAACCACGATGGAAATTTCTCTCCATTATAACCTTTAATCCCTAAACTTCTCAAATTTGGGTGAGGTTGAAGACCTTCCAAAACCTCCTCATGGTGGTTGTAGCGTTCTTCATTTTCTCTCCATTCAAACCCTTCATTTCCTCTCCATTAAAATTTCAACTCGTACAATTTTGTCTTCTGTTTCAAGTTTGCTCTACTGGCCTCTGATTGAGATCTAACAAACCGAAGATTACATATTCTCAATGCTCCCCCAAGTTGACTTAAGGGCCCAAGTTCATCAATCCAATATCCCTTTTCTTTTCCCACAGCAAATAATGTCAAGGTTTGAAGGGAAGTTAAATGCCCAATCTCTCTTGGCATATGGTTGGGCTCATTAAAATAAAAATGTTTTAAGCTGATCAGATTTCTCAATTCATCAGGAAGCTTTTGAAAATAATAACAATCAAAAAGTTTTAAGGTTTGCAAACTATACAGTCTGGTGAAAGATTTTGGCAGTGCTTTGATTTTAGTTCCTGAGACATCAAGGTATCTCAAATGCTTCAATTTGCCGAGAGAAGCTGGCAGTTGATCAACATCTGCTGCCTTCAAACTTAAAGACCGTATGCTTTTAAGATCTAGTGACAGATTGCAAAAATCAACCTCCGAGAACAATGAATGCAACTTTGGAGCTACACCTCTCAAAATAGTTGGATCCACTGGTGCACCGGATAGGACCCTCAAATGTCGAATGCAAGAATTTTCACCAATGGAACCATTCTTCAAAATCAGTGTTTCATTTTTTGAAACAAACACTGCAAGGTCATGCACTACATCGTGTATCTTGCAGGTTTGGATGTTCCCATATTTATCTCTTTCTACATCTTGGAACAAGGAGTTAGATAACAAGTCATTGAAGTACTTGTTACCAATATCTTCCATTGTTTCCTCACTAGATGGATAAAGAAATCCTTGAGCCATCCAAAGTTGAACTAAATCATCCTTTTTTATATCAAAATCTTTTGGGAAAATAGAACAATAAGAAAAGCATTTTTTCAAATGTGAAGGCAAATGGTCAAAACTTAGTTTAAGTATACGTAAAACCTGATTACCATCTTCTGAATTCCAGACATTACTTTCTTTTATAGACAACCACTCATCTACTCCCCTTACTACACGCATTGTTCCTCCTAAAACACTTGCAATCAATGGCAAGCCCCCACAATTTTTAGCAATATCCCTACCAATAGCCTCCAGATGTTGATCACTTATGGATGATGTTGCAGATCCAAAAACTTTCTCCTTTATTATCAACCAACAGTCGTCTTCTGGCAGCTTCTGTACATGATGCTCATGCAAAGGAAGAAACTTTGCCAGGGATGATGCTACCCTTTCATTACGAGTGGTTACAAAAATGGAATTCCCAGATGTTTTCATAATTTTTAACACACGATTAACAAAATTAGCCCAGGTATTGGAATCTTCATTCCACACATCATCAAGAACAAGAAGAAAAGTTTTCTTTTCTAATTTTTCTTCCAGTCTTTTGAGCAATACATCAATGTTATCTATCCCACCAGCATTCTGATCAAGATATTCTAACACACCTTTTAAAATTTTTCGTTCATCAAAATCATCAGACACACACACCCATGCCACTACATCAAAAATGTTTTTCTTTTCTATTTCTTTGCATAGCAATTTTGCTAAGGTTGTCTTCCCAATTCCTGCCATGCCGATCAAAGAAATGACAGAGATGGGATGCTGCCCCCTTAGTGCAGTCAACAAGTTAACAATTTCTAATACTTCCTTATCCCTTCCTTCAACTTTTGACTCTATATAGGAGTCAGTATCAGGCCGGAATCGGCCAAACTGGGCCCTTTTGTTTCTAGTAAGAAGAGGAAAAACTGCATCTCCTTTTACTTTAACTAGAGACTCATTAATCTTCTTAATTTTTTTAGCCATTTTGAGACGAAACATAATGGAATTGGTGCCAGAAAAGAACATACACACCTGCTTCGTCAGACGACCTTGAGTCTCTACTTTCAGTTGGAGAAGCTTATAAGCGCACTCATCCAATACATCCACCGCATCATATGCTACATCTCTGAGCTTCTGCAGCCACCGCCTTACAGCCGGATCACTTTCCTGTTTCTCCTCTGCATCTTGGAGAACATCTTGAATTGTAAGTAGTGAGTCCTCAAGGTTTGCCAGCTCCTGCTTGAAACCCCATGCAAGGCAGATTTGTTCAACCGCAAATGAAAATGCCTTGTCAGCAGCAAAGGAAATCACATTTTTCAGTGCATCCTGTATAATAGGAGTGATGAGGATGGTTTCAGCCATTCTGCTTTGGTGTTGAGAAAGGTGGGATGCAGATGCACGATGAAATTCTGAGACAAGAAAATGGTGTTGTGAGAGTGGATGTTAGAACAACAACTTCCTTTAAGCTAGAATGAAGATAAGTTTCGTAAGAAAGAAAGAATATCTGTTTCTAGGCAAAAGAAAGGAAAAAGAAAAAGGTGAAGAATAAAATGTTTGTTGGGTGAATGGTAAAGCAAGGAAGATATGCTAGCTATTCTTTTCTTTCACATTTAGAATGCTTTGGTGGGCGGATTAGTACTGGAATCACTGCTTCCTCTTCTCATATGTCTTTTACTTTTCTGGAATTTTACTTTTCTTGAGGGGGCTATCTAGCATCTTAAATATAAAATTGGAGTTACAATGGTATCGGCAATTCTGCTTAGATTGATGTTGAGAAAGCTTTGCATGGACAAGGAAATCATGAGACAAGAATGGTGTTGTGAGAAAGGAGATCAAACAAGTTTCTTTTAGATAGAATGAAGATATATATTCAATAACATGGAAAGAATATATCCATTTTTAACTTATGGTTGCTGTAAAAGCAAGGATAGGAAAATCTGTTATTTCCTTCCCTACTTCAAATGCTATTTCCTTTACTTGCTGTAAAGCAAAGAGAAGGTGAAATAACAATTACAACTGCTGCGAGTTTTAAAAGGAGATAAGTGCACAAATAGTACAATTATTATTGAAATTTAAACAAAAGCTACAATGCTTAGGCCAGAATATATCCCCGCATCTAAATTAAGCAAAAAAAAGACTGGCTATGCGGCTCATTGCTTTCAAGACAATCTATGAGGTGTTCAAGAAGAAAAACCTATCTGAATTTAATAGTTTTCACTCATAACAGGATTGAGTGATACATCACTGATAAGATAAACCAGTGAGTGATCAATTAGACACCTTAATAGATGGTGGCTCTACGCCTTTGACATGGTGTAGTCCACGGCATCAACCAGGAAATCTGCAACCAAAGGTTACTCTTCAATTAGGACTGCTAAGAATAGGACAAAGTGGTAGGGAAAAAGAAAGCATGAGTTCCCATAGGACTTTTGAAACATGTGGTAAATGCTTCGGTAAAGAGCAACTAAGAGGCAAAACTTACCTGCATCATCCTCAGTGAAGCACAGAGGAGGGGTAATTCTGAAAACACATCCAAAATATCCATCTTTTCCAACCAGCACTCCAAGTTTTGAAATTGTAAACGAGGTTTGTTAGTAAATAAAGGTTAAGATTCAAAGCATAAATGGTCATCACAGGGATTGGAAACACGTAACCTTTCATCTGGTCCATTAAATTTGCTAGGGTCATTTAAATTGTTAAATTTTTATTTTAATTTTACTGTTAAAAATGGTTGATAATAAAACAATTAATATTTATTATTTAATAATTTTAAATCAGTTTATAAACAGATATTTTTAAACATCACAATTAATTATTTAAAAAATTATAAACTAATAAAATTACAATTAAAATATTTGATCTTAACAAAATTAAAGGTGACAATAACCCAAAAAACATAAAACCATGTTTAATTAAGCTAATATAAACTTCTATTTTTATTTCAGTCGGATTGGGCCT